CCCCACACTAGGATTTTTACCTGTGTCGCGGGTGCGTTTACAAACGAGCGTGCGTTTTAAAATTACCTACCTATATCTCCCCACTTCATCCTTCATCATCATTTATTACAATTAGGTACTACGTAGGTACATATTGTTCTATATAATGAAACACATTTATACTGTATTTTGAATTCTTCAAACAAATTCAAGTATTGTTATTTTGTAGGTACCTACCTACCTATATCAAAAATCTGCCAACAACAGAACCCATCACGAGTCGCTCACACTTGTTTATTTCTTTTTTTTTCTAATGTGACCAGCATTTAATTAATTCCTAATTCGGGTAGGTAATTGTAAACATCTAAACTTACCCTCAGCCGGGTACCCAGTAAGTACCCATTTTTAAATTTGATCTGGTTACCGGGTTACCGGATAATAAACAATTTAAATCATTAATTCAGAATTTTCGTTTCCTAATTGAAATCTCGATAAAGTAGTCAATTTTTAGATCACGCCACAACAGGACGGCTGACCTCTAACCCGGCTTTGACAATAGCCCTGTTACTGCTGTTATTAATATTGATGACAACTGACAAGTAAGTTTCCTACGAAGCTACTACCTCCCAAAGAAGTAAAGACTTTAGACGACTTATTTGTAATTTCAAAAACATTTTAAAATTCAAATAGGAATAACATACCTTGAATTCCTTGGCGAAGTTTTTTTCTTACAGTAACCGGTTCACCTTATCTCTAGAAAGGCTTAAAATAATGTTCACTTTTATTTACTCTTTTGGATAACTAACTGTTTAGTTTATTTCGATAAAACTATGATTATTTAGACGTATACAGCTAAAGTAATGATGAAAACTAAGAACATTTACAACAAAGTAGGTAACTATTTTCTATCTAGAGCTAGCGATACAATTTTAAACTAAAAATAAGTGCAAAGTAACACATCCCTCCCGCACGGACGTTGTCACTGCACTATTATTTTAGTAGGTATTTGAATGCATAGGTATTGGCGGTGTTGCTGAATGGTTTTTGTTAAATTATGTAACTAGGAAATAGCCTGCTTAAAGTCAGATCCGTCCTCCAAATAATAGGCAAAGATTTAATTAATTTTTACATTATTATTTTTCGTACCTATAATTAGGATAACAATAGTAAAAAACCTAAACACAAAATCATAACAAAAATATTTTTCATGGTAATGGTAGATGTATTAGTCATTGCGCTGGTAACACACAAGTCACGTTCCGTTTTTGTTAAAACCAAAATTAGAAATATAGTTGTTTGAACGTTTATATGTAAACTATTATAGTAAGATATTTCTAATTTATATGAATCAATTAATTATTTATTATCTAATATAAATACAGTAGCTTAATAATTATTATGCTCCTTAAAAAATAAATTTGAATAGAAAATTTCTAACCCTTTGACTTCATCGTGGAACGTAACGTAAAAATCGAAGAAAGAGAGAAAGGACAATGAATTGCTAAACAAAATGGCCGCTGAACGTAGAAAGGCGTGTCGCGGATACTCCTGATATTCGCCTTCTCGGAAACCATTGAACTTCAGTGAAAAGTTTACGTGTATTATACTGGTTCGTAACTTTGTTTTGTGATTAATATAAGGTGAATATAGTATTTGATGTTGGATGTCCAGCCTGCTGTGTTCGAGGAGCGTCACCCCATCGTCTGTACTATGGAGGATGTTATACAGCCGCGTACGGCCTGTACCGTAAGGCCTCGCCGCGTGTGCTCGGAGGCTGCATGTTCGCCTCGCGTGGGCCCGTGTCGATCGCGGTCGCTTCGCCCCTCGCGAAGCTTTCGTCCACCCGCGCGCCGCTTTCGCATTCTAAGTATGTCGGTTTTTACAGCGGCGCTGCCGGGTTTCGCGTCTGCCCGCCGCCTGGCACCGGGGCTTCGCCCCCCGCGTCCCGCCGCGCGCGTTCGGAGCCCTCGCTCCATCCGATCCTTGAACGAAGTCGTTCAGGTAAGTTTTTCCTAATTTTCACTGCAGGTGAGGAAAATCGATTCGGGCATCGGCCATCTTGGAAAAAGTATAATTAGAACAGCCGTACAGTTATTTGGCTGCCAATAAAACAGTTATATTACCACGTCGGACACATCTATAACGATATTATGCATTATCATTAAATAATCTTGCAGGAAAAAGGTCCATTTATGATATCTAGGTTCATTTTCATGTACTTAAGCACTAGACAAAGGGCATGGCTGAAAAATCAATAGTTCTGCATCTGCGCACGCAAGATGGACGGTCCTCCTGAAAATGTGAAAGTCTAAGTTAGTGCTAATGGATATCCTAGAATATCTCGCGTTATTATGGTGCGTTTAACTTCAAAAACCTATTAAAAGTGTAGATTTAAACCTAAAGTATTCGTGCGGTGTAAAAATTTCCAAGTTTGTTTCGTTTTAATGCCAAAATCATGTCGTGTTACAAAGGGCGGAGGCTGCGAGCACCATTTTGTCTCTAGTCGAATCTAGGTCATCTATCGAACAAAGAAAACCCTAGACCGCGTTCAATATTTCATCAAAATTTAGTGAAATCACAAAACAAATAACCAAAATAAACAAATTCTAAAATCTATGTGAAATCTGGACCAAAACAGTGATCTTCAAACAAAGAAATTAAAAATAAATAATTAAGAATATTCTTTAGATCATCATCAATCAATCAATCAACCTAAATAAAAAAAACCAAAATATCATCAACAATAACCATGCACTTTACTCCTCGGACAATCCAATCAGAGTTCAAGTTCTCGCAGCATGTATTTGATTGAAACTATTTCCTTAGGCCAATGTGTTTGCTAAATATAAATATCTTGGATGACGCCCAGTGAAAAGTGGACTGGAATCTCCATTCATATTTTAAAACCGACAACATCCCTCGGTCAAAGATACATTTTTCTCCTTCGCTATTTGGCTTATGGACATACTCTCCGCTGCAACAGCTGACCTCCAACTTATTATATGGTGTTCTTTTTGTATATAAACCAGTCTCCAGAGACTGACTGGAGAATGTCTGTCTCTAGAGACAAAAACATTGAGTCTTCAGTCAGTATCTTTGTCTCTAGCCAACCCTTTACATGTGTAAAGCACATTCTAACACGGCAAAATGTCTTCTAAATTCTTGTAAGATCCGTGATATTAGAAACAATCAAATACCTAGACGATTTAATTTTGACAAAGCCGCTGAGGAATAAGTAACAGCATTCTCTATATATCTGTGGATGACACAATGCAATCATCAGGCTTTCTCCGGAACATGGGCATTAAAGCAATCATCCTTTTAAGGCAAGAGTTCTTTGTTATGCAGTGAAAATAATGTAGTGCTTGACACACCCATAAATCAATAATTTGAACAAAATGTTAACACACTGATCCGAAATGCATTTGATAGTTTCTGAATATTTGTCAAAGGTTTATTTATAAACCTAAGAATTCATTAAGATGGTATTTCAGTAGAATTCACATCCCCTACCACACCCGAAGGTGATATCTCATTATCTCAAAGAGCCATCAAGTCGCCACAGATGGGACTCAACAGGACTGGCAAATGCCTGATGCCACATGGAGCGCTTAATGGGTTGCCGGGGCCCTGATTCGAAGAGCAGGAGTAGGAACGGGGCAGTTTTTAGTCAGTAAGAGTCTGACACTCCCTCTCGCTTCACCTGGGCGGAAGCAGACATTGGATGATTTTAACCATTAAAAAAACGATTATACCAATTGCTCGCTGCTCTGTCTTCTAAAAAAGAGAAGTTTTTAATAAGTAAACACACCCATATGGATCATATTTAAATTTTGAGTTTTTAAGGACCACGCCCGAATAGTGTGAAATGGTTGATGTGTCAGCAGTTTTGAATAAGATAGTACACTGTATGGGACTTTCCTCTGATTCTTATCGACAAAATAGTAATAAATAAGATTAGATTAGATGATAACATATCCTTAATCAATGAATATTATTCTACCGATATAATATTAATTATTTTGATCACATGAAACAATTTAATAGAATTCTAGTGTTCTTATCTCACTAAAACTAAAGGATGCTTCAGAGAAGTCATTGCCTTTATGGAAAATATCCGGTGTTATAAGTAACGGTTAATTCAAATTCAAGATATCCCGGTTCCGTTAAGAACAAATGTTCAAAATTTTGATTGACTTATCTACAGCGAGGGTGTATGATACAATAGAGCCTGGATTAATTAGATTATTATTATAATTAAAATTAATTGAAATAAAACATTAACAGTTTGACTACCAACAGTGAAGGTAAATCATCCGCTATCGTGGTCCATACCTTGTTCCCCATGGCGTTCAAGGTGTTAATAACACATTTTTAATGCGATTCAAAAGACATTGTTTTAGGGCAAACGGACGCGATGGCTAATTCTAATAAATCGCAATTACGTTTAAATCACCTCATTAAGCAAGTAGCCAATATTGCCATCATTGAGGTTCGGTTAAAAAGCACTTGTATTGTACATAAGGTTTCCAGTGATGGTGTTTTCCAACCCTTAGTCTGGAGCTCTTCATCATCATAACCCTATTTGCAGGATGTCGTCCCGACGGAACGGGTCGGTATCCCGTGCCGCGGAGGCCGCCTCCAAGAACCGACTTCATATGGATAGGAATCCACAACACTCGAGGATCACAGGTACGTTAATAGCTAGTATATGTAACTTATTTCATTTTCCACGTTTTAATAGACTGTATGTGATATGTATATGAAAGAAAAAAAGTGCGTAATCAAGGACTAATGGGGATGATGACAGGGTATAAAAATTAAAAATATAATTAGTCCATAAGTTAGGTAATGAAAAAATATTAGACGCGTATTTTTTTCTTTTGTCGTATAATAAAACAATAATTAGATAAAACGAATCAAAGTTTAGGAGTGGGGGCTAAAACGTCATTTCTTAGTATAAAATGTACTGAGAAGTGACGTCACGCGACATTTCAAATCAATATATCGTCGAAAGTATTCGTTTCTGTAAGAAAATAAAAAATACGTGTCTAATGATTTAAAATAATCTACCAGACGGACATAAAAATAAAAATTAGTCGTCTACCCCATTGTAATGCTTTGACTGTGAAAAATACTGCCTCGTTGGCCGAGCGTTCGCAAGTGGGACTGCCGGGCAAGGGGTCTCGGGTTCGATTCCCGGGTCGGGCAAAGTATTATTAGTGTTTTTTTTAATTCTCCGCAGTATCATGGTGTCTGGAATTGTGCCCGGTATATGACAATAGGCTCACCCCATATTACATGGGACTTGTAACATAAATAGTTAAAAGTGGGTGTTACATTGTACAGTGGCATAATGTGCACCTCTGCCTATCCCTTCGGGGATAATAGGCGTGATGTTATGACTTTGAAAATTAGGTCCTAAGTTAAGTAGGTACCTAATTGTTCCTTGGATATGTTCTAAGTTGACTGATGACTGATTTTTCTTGTATAGAAGCACTATTTTATATGGATTGTCAGTATACATATGTGAGGACCATGTCAGACTTAAGATATTTGTTTTCTATTGGTTTTGTTTTTTTTTTTTCTATTTTAGTATGTTCTGTTATTTGTATGTTGCATCAGGTATGTCTTTACATTATTCTCACATGTGTGTACAATATTGGAATATGTATCAGAGCAATGTAAAACAGACTTTTTTTAAAAGAGTAACGAATAGAGTTTCTTGCTCGTTCTTCTCCACTCGAATCGACATTTTGGAACGAGCGCCTAGCTTCACTGACGGACAGACTGACAGACTATTATTTATTTCATATTTGTTGACGTTTCAAAAGTACCAAAATATGGTTTAATTGAAATAAATGCTTTTGAGTTTGAGTTTGAACTGTTGGGTGATAGCTTTAAGTGTGTAGCACCCTCATAAGTGTTAAAACTTGCCTAATGTCACTTTAATTCTGTAAATTTTAAGTTTCTATAAGTTATCTAAAAATTATATGAAAAATATAGTAGTTTTTGATATGATGAATGACACCTAACAAAGAATGTTCAAATAATGATGAGAAAATATAACAAACAACCTAGAAGATGCATAGCTTAAACTGTCAAACACCAAGCGGTCACCAGTGACCGCAACCTATTGTTCTATAATTGTGTCTATAATGACGGTACTTGATGAGTTAAACCATAGTCTATTTACCTCTCGTTCCCTATCTACCCCATTTTACCGTACCTGCTTTAGAATAAAGGCTGTGAAAATATACTGAGAAAAACGCCATCATTTATAAATTAATTGTAAACATATGTTTCAAGGCCTCTTTCTCAGGAGCAAGGCCTCGTTCTGATACATTCCACCAGCAGTCTAGCTTTATTTATTTTACTTTACACTTCTTGTACATATTAAGTAGACAATGGTGGACTTAATGCCTAGTGGCATTCTCTAACAGTCAACCTTAGTGATGCAGAGAAAGCTATTAGACCACCACAGATAGGGTCCAGTAGGGCTGATGCCCGATACGAAGGCCTAAGGGGTTGCCTTCGACTCGAAGTACAAGAGTAGGAACGGGGTGGTTTTTAGTCAGTAAGAGTCTGACATTACTTTTCTCCTAACCCAAGGCGGGAGAAGTCATTGGATGATATTTCGCCCTCAAAAACAAAGGGTAATGCAGAGACACAGGGTGTAGGTTTCATCATATCATCAGCCCGTATTCGTCCCCTGCTGGACATAGGCCTCTCCAATGGCACGCCACTGAGCTCGGTCTTCAGCTCTTCACAATCCAACCACTGCCCGCCACCTAGCTGGTAGGCGCCCTACACTACGTTTGCCTAGGTGTAGCTTTAGTATCGTTTTCAATACTTGAATATCTACTACATTATTATCTTCTTCCTTAGATCCTTCAAACCCGGCCGGTCGCCGGAAGGAAATAGACAACGTGATGAAAAGAGCCCGCCAGGCGTCCCCGGGCAGCTGGGACCGAAAACTCCTGGAAGTGGAGGAGAAAGACCCAAATCGGTAAGCGGATATCGTCTTAAAATCATTAATTGGAATATGTCCACTGTTGTACAAGGGATGTAAATAATATTGATATGAGATTGGAACTATGGACTTAAGACCGGGGTGTACACTTGAATAGGTGCAAGTGTAACTGCCGAGCAACGTGTCTCGTGTTTGATTCCAAATTGGGCAAATTCTTGTTGAGATTTTTTCCGAATGAGTAATGGCATTGATCATGAGACGCTGATCACCTGTCCATCACTATTCCTTTGCCTGTTTGGGGTCAATCCTATAAAAAATCAAAAATTGACAATCAGACACTAATGTATACATATAGTAATGTCGCGGAGAACCTAATGGGTAACCGGGGCTCCGGCTCGACGTGTAGGAGAAGGAACGGGGTGGTTTTTAGTCTGTAATAGTCTGACACTCCCTCTCGCCTTACCCAGGCGGGAGCAGTCATTCGATGATTTTCCCCCCTTAAAAAAAAAACATATAGTAATCTGTTTATTATCAGTAACCTAATTATGGTCCCTAAGGGCCCCGCGCAATAGTCAGCCTGGCTGCGGAACAGTGCAGCAGCCAGAATATTTGCGCAGCTGATTTTAGCAGCCACTCAACGTCTATTCTAATAAATTTCTGCGTATCAGTCACCCAATCAAAGTCCTGTACGCAAAATGCCCAGAAATTGATGTAGCCACATACATTCGCCTACACATCCTGACTGCGCACAGCCAGCCGGCTGTCGTGCAGACAAGCGCGTTGTATTGGCCGCTGCAGCCGGGGGAATTCGTGGTTGCCTAGTGCGCGGGCTCCTGTACGTCATTTTACAGGCTGCCTAGTGGGCGGGGGGGTGTCGCGGAGAACCTAACGGGTAACCGGGGCTCCGGCTCGACGTGCAGGAGAAGGAACGGGGTGGTTTTTAGTCAGTAAGAGTCTGACACTCCCTCCCGCCTCACTCAGGCGGAAGCAGTCATTCGATGATTTTCCCCCCTTAAAAAAAAAAGTGGGCGGGGGGCCTAAGTTACTTGCCAAGCATGGTTATTATAACTTATGTCACAATCACCTTTGTTCAGCAATCGACATATTCCAGTCGATGATAATTACAAACATTTAGTACCGACTACAATTTATTCATTTTATCTAATGATGTAAATAATATTCAATAAGTGATATTATTATGTAGTAATTAGGTATTTTAACTTCTAATTTATTGTAGTTAAGACCAGAGCACACGGCGTGTTTTATAGGCGCAGGAGATGCGCGTATTCGGAATGCGTCTTTTGTAGGCGCAGGAGATGCGCGTATTCGGAATGCGTGTGCGCGTTCGAAGCTATACAAAGAAGCGGAGTCCACAGCTGCCCCCCCGCTCGAGTCTCAGTTGCAATAGTTTTATTATGTGTTCATAATAACTATTGTGAGACATACTAAATTAACTAAAATCGCAGGTTACTCACGTGAATGTACTGAGAAAAGCTCTACCAGCTTCGAACCAGCCTACCGGCGTAGGCTGCGCGACATCGCCGCGACCGCGCACGCTGCTCATGAGGAAGAACCCCTCTGTGGTTCGAAACTAGTAGTGCTTTTCTCAGTATATTCACGTGAGTAACCCGCGATTTTTAGTTGGGTTTATTGTGTTTCGAGCGACTACAGCGCATATACGCGCAGCAGAGACGCGTTTCACGATCACTTCGTGTGTTGCGTTCAAATCTCATTATGAATGCGCGTCTAAGACCTCTGCCTCAAATTTTGCGGGCAGCGTAGTAATGGCGGCGTAGAGATGGTTAACTCGAGTTGGGCGTAACTCGAATCCACTCGAGTTGAATTCTCTCTAAATCGAGCCAAAAATACTTAAATAAATGATTCTATTTCAAAAAACATCTTTTTTTTTCTTTAGTTAGTAGGTATAACTCTCCCAATACACTATAAATGAATAATATAAAAAATAGAAACATAAAAATATAATTAGTCTGTTCCAATTTTTAAACTATTTGTGCCAAGCTGAGGGAATAATTTGGAAAAATCTCAAAAAAACATTTACTTGTCCATCCAGTTAACTCGAGTTACGTAATTCGAGTTCAACCCGAGTTACGTGGATTTTAACTCGGGTTAAATCGAGTTCTATATTTTCCGAGTTGGCACATCACGGCGTCGGCGGGTACAGTTGACTGGAGGGCACCACTCTTTGACCGCCCCCGCGCCGCTGCCCCGCCGCTGTTTTCGAAAACCGGTCCATTTCATTTTACGCAAAAGATCTGGCCGCTTCCGCATCGCCGCTGCCCCGATGCCCGCAAAATTCAAGGCAAAGGCTCCGTGTGCCATGGGCCTTAAAATGCGGTGACCTGGGTGCTTAGGTACTCTTGAAACCAATCTCATTGAGATTTTATTGGATTCAAATTGCATATTTCAATCCAATAAAATCTCAATAATTATCCAATGTCAAAACTATACAACCCCCTATCGTAGCTGTTAAAATAGCATTTAGAGTACGGAATATAAGCCTCTAGTGGCTTACTCTTGAATCCAATTCCGATCGATCGACAATGGTATGTATTGTGAAATTTCGTACTCGAGTTGCAAGACTAGCGCCCATTGCATCCGTATTGCGTGGATATTGAATAAACTAAATGGTATCGAGCTTTGCTTTATACCCCATACTCTAAATGCTATATTAACAGTTACGACTGTGTGGGTGTATAGTTTTGACATTGAATAATTATTGAGATTTTATTGGATTGAAATTGCATTGACATTGAGATTGGTTTCAAGAGTAAGCACCCAGTTTGGTTCAAAGATGTGTACATAGATTAGGATCCTGACTACTATAGGCACTTTATTTTTATTAACTTTTTTTTTCTTTTTGTTTTCTTATGTTTGCTTTATTTTGTTTGCTTATAACACTGTCCAGTTTTTGTTCTGGCAATTCTGGGCTGAAGTCTTTATGTACAATGAACATATATTTTTGACTATTTGAAAGTTCCATGATGCTGTAGTAATTACTAATAATGCACTTGTGATGCCTCTGATGATACAGGCGTATTATTTTAACAATGGTAGCCGTCAGATCAAAAATAAGTTTTGTTGTTACAAATACAAGGTGTTGTTTTAAAGCCGCGTCATTTTCTAGGAGCTAACTCGGCTATCGATTCTGAGTCCGAATCAATAAAAAGATTGTAGGTAAATATTTTTCATTTTTCTGTAAATTATCCGTAAGTGCGAATTACACGCCGCCGTCTTGTAACTAGCTTTATAACGCGGCTTAACACACACAAACTCAAACACGTAATTGATATTATTCCTAATTCCATAAAACTCCAATAAAGTCGCTTGCCCGGTATATGGCAATAGACTCACCCCCTATTACATGGGACTCATAACATAAACAGTGAAAAATGGGTGTTACATTGTACAGTGGCATTAAGTGCCGTAATGTGCACCTCTGCCTACCCCTTCGGGGTTAAAGGCGTGATGTTATGTATGTATGCTGTCGCTTATTCTGAAATACTGTTAAACCTAAACGATTTATTATAGCCGTATTTTTAACTACTGGCCCGAAACTTTCTCTTACATTGAACCTTTATAACTGCTGTGACATGCCTTTGAGAAATGACACGGCTTCAAAACTACACCTTGTATAGTAGGTAGTAACTATCTATAAAAAAATATCTGCCAGGCATAGGCCATCTCAAATGTTTACTAAACAAAAAAAAAAATACAAAATGAAAGTAAACTGATTACTTCAATTTTAATGGTTCAATTTTATTTCGTACTTCACTCTTATTTTGTTTTGCATGGTGTTCTTATGTTCTGCTAAATAGAAAAGTAGTCAAAGATTCCTCTAAGGTCCAATTTACATTGCCATGGAATGATATGGAAGCGAGGTTTTAGCTACGATGTTGTACACGTCATTTTTTTTTGTATTAGTTCAGTAATTTCGAAGTTTAGCACTGATTACTATCTGAGAGAAATCTTAAAATCTGCGATAGATTCAAACTTTGCAATTCATTATTTTGTAAAGCTTTCGACTGATTTCAAGCCACGATAGGGGCCCATAGTTATAAGCAATATGTGGGACAACCGACGCGGCGAGCGATCTGATTATATGATTATGATATTACTAGCGGCCAGCCCTGATACGGACGATTTTTCTATGGCAAACAAAAAAGAACGAAATCGGCCAGGCCAGCTACTTTTAATGCGAGATGACCAAAGAACAATTAATACATATTTATTCCTAATAGATGAAAGAAAGAAATATTGTTTATTTACACACAGTCACAAAGTACAATAACATACATAAAAAAAATTAACAGTGAAGACGGCGCAAAAAGGCCAGATCTCGCTTTCAAACCATCCTGTGGCATTGCAAATTGAACCTAACTTACATGTCGCATCTATTGAACAGGTGGCGGCACACCGGTTACAAACAGCTGTACCTCGATGGGTCCAAGTCACCGTCGCCCAGGAGGTCTCGCTCCCCAGCTGTTAGGCGATCCAGGTGAAATAATTATTCTGATTATGAGAATTTTGCACTTATTTAAATCAATTGATGTGCAAGAATAAATGACTTGGCTATTAGAAATATAAATCTTTAGTGTTCAGTTTTAATTATTGTGTCTTCTATCGACGGGAAATAACGTTATTTTTTAATGTGTCTATAAGTAAATGTAGGGTAGGGTTGAAAGTCGCGTTGCGTTCCGACCTCGCCTCAAAGAGTCAGACCACAACAGATGAGGCCCAAAAGGACTGAGCCTCGATACGGAAGCGGAAGACCTAACGAGTTTCCGGGGCTCCGGCCCAAAGACCAGTAGTAGGAACGGGGTGATTTTAGTCAGTAACGGTCTGATAGTCCCTGTCGCCTAACCTAAGGCGGACGAAGTATTTGGATAATTTCCACCCCTAAAAAAAAGAGAGTAGTAGTAGTTTGAACTTCTGGGCGCTAGTTGAGTTATGTATAGAAAATTCACTTGAAAAACATAATTTAGATACCTACATAGCTTATAAATTGATTGATTTTTTTAAACACTCAAGATAAAGTGACTTCATGCTGCGGCAGAATGTGGTTTCGAACCCTCACGTTTCAGACTGTACTTCTGTCCACCAGGGGGTAAAAAAGTATAGTGCTCTTTATATAGGGATACCGTCAGCTTATCGTTTATTTGTATTTCATTTTTGTTTTATTATAAATTACATATATCATTATCATATCGCACCTCCGCTCAAATAGTGTCACAACTCAAAAAAAATTGAATTCAATTTTATTGCACTATTGGAATCAGAAAACTCCGAAATCTTATCTCAAATAATGTCATGCACATAGTTCAACTATTTATCCATAGATGGCGCTTATGACATTATATCCTAAAGTGAAAGAATCGTCTTACCAAACATAAACAGTGTCACGTCACTGCTTGCGCGAGGTGGTCGTCTATCGAAATATATAGAGCGTTGTTTGTCGATTTGTGTCGGTACATGTGTTGAAGCTATTAGAAATAATTTGTGGGCTTACTCAATAAAAGTGAAGTATTTCGACTTAAGACAGTTTATTTGATCAAGGTAAGTCAAAAGTCACTATACTATTCGCAATAAAGTGATCTTTATTAAGTTATGACATTATATGTGATAAATTTTACTTTACATCTTTTATTTTTATTTTGATGAAGTGTACTGTTTCGACATATTACATTACATGTGATTAGGACTAGACAAAAAGTATTTATATTTTGGAATTTACAGTGTTTTGTGTCTAATTATGGTGGTTTACTTGATAAAGGTTATTCATTTTATGAAGTTAAACTGACCTGTGTCAAAATGTGTTATTGTTTTAGGTACTGTTAGGACATATTTTAATATTGTTTAAGTATCTTGTATGAATGAAGATATTATAATATACTTTTTAAACTAAAATTATTATTTTTATTGTCCTTAGGTGATTGTATCTACAAAGATATACTATGTCCAGATCAAGCAAAATTTTGTCTCTGTGCCTGGAGCCGAATGGACAACATGATCAAGAAAAAAATGAATCCATTTTTATACCAGAGGGTACTCAAAAAAATTATTTAGAAGCAATACATGACAGCTTAAACAAAGAAAATGTTAATTTAAATGAAACTTTCGAAAATCCTGTTGAAAATGAAGAACGTATGCAAGATAACTTATCTGGGGAGGAAGACACAGATGATTCAGTTAAAGATCCAAATTATGATACGGTTCGTAAAAAGAGTAAGAAAAATATGGTCGTTCCTCAACGTCGATCATCATCATCATCAAGTACTTCAAGTTCTTCATCGTCCGACTCAAGTTTATCCTCCTCCAGTTCATCATCCTCATGTAGCTCGTCAATTTTGTCACCTAAGGCAAAACCAAGTGAAGATATTCACGAAGACCGCCCATCAACTTCACAAGTATCAAATTTAGATAGGAATTGCCTGCAGGAAGAAAATGAGGTGTCGGAAGAAATGCCAACTTCACGTAAAAAGCGTCGTGTTGAACGACAATGGAAGCAAAATGTGACTAAAGTTCTAAGGAACTCAGGATTGCCTTATCAAACGAAATCAGGACGAAATATTCCTAAAAAAGATATTAAAGAAGGTTGTGGCGAAAGTTGCAGGCTGAAATGCAGTTCTTTTCTTACTGACGAAATAAGGCTTCAATTGTTTGATTCTTACTGGGCTTTGCAAGATTTAGAGAAACAAAGACAATTTATACATAAACATATAAGACCTATAGAAGTGAAGTACCGATATGTCAAAGCTCAAAAACCGCGAAAAAACAATTATGCTTTCTATTTCGATGTTGAAGATTCATTGAAGAGGGTCTGCAAAACTATGTTTAAAAATACTTTGGATATTAACGACAGAACAATCAGAACTGTAACTGAAAAATCTATTGGGGGTATTTTGAAAGAAGATCAAAGAGGAAAACATAAGAAACATTATACTGTAGATGAAACTATTAAAAATGATATAAGGACTCATATAAAAGGAATACCAAGAATTGAAAGCCATTATTTGAGGGCACAAACTACCCGCGAATATATTGATGGAGGAAAATCTATTTCTGACTTACATAGGGACTACGTAGATCAGTGTAAAAAGGCTGGACAAAATTATGGAAACTATGTAATGTATAGTCGCATTTTTAATGGTGAATTTAATTTAGGTTTCTTTATACCAAAGAAAGATAGATGTGAGTTATGTGTGGCTTATGAAAATTCAAACCAAGAAGGTAAAGAAAAACTTAAGAAAAAATATGATGAACACTTAGTAGAAAAGAATTTAAGTAGAGAAGAAAAGAAGAAAGACAAGGAAGCTCTTAAGATAAACCAAAACCTTACCGTGGCTGTATACGACTTACAGGCTGTTCTGCAGTTACCGCGTGGTGATGTTTCTGTTTTTTACTATAAGAGTAAACTGAACAACATGAATTTCACGATAAGCAAATTGAAAGCAGAAAACATAGGACGAAAAAATAAGAAACCACCAAGAAGTAACAATAATGGTAGTGAATCCACTGATAATCAAAGTATTACTGAATGCTATTTTTGGCATGAGGGTGAAGGCAATCGTGGTGCAGACGAAATCGGTAGCTGCTTGCTTAAATTTATAGAAAAAGAATTGCATATTCGTACTGGTAATGATCTCATTGATTTAATTTTTTATTCTGACAATTGCTGTGGGCAGAATAAAAATAAATATATTGTCGGGCTGTACATGTATGCGGTAATGAAATACAATAAACTAAATTCGATTACTCATAAGTTCTTAATAGCCGGCCACACGCAGAACGAAGGCGACTCGGTACATTCCGTGATTGAAAAACAAATAAAGCGATCGTTGAAGTCAGGTCCAATATACGTTCCTAGTCAATATGTACAGATAATTAAGGAAGCTAAGAAAACTGGGGAGCCATTGAGAGTAAATGAGCTGTCACACAATGATTTTATTTCACTAAAAAGCTTAATTAGTGACATGGGTATTACTTTAAATAATAAAATAAAGATCTCAGACGTAAAAATGATGACTATTGCCAAAGACAGACCAAATATTTTAAAATACAAAACATCTTACACGGATACCGAATGGTCAGAAGGTAATTTACTCTCACGAAATAAGAGAATAACCATTCCTGATACAAAGCTAGCGTACACTACTAAAATACCAATTAAAGAGAATAAAAAGACTGATTTGATGACTTTGCTACAAAATAATCATATTCCAAGTTTTTATGCTGATTTTTTCAACAATTTGTGAAGTAGGTTTAGTTTTGTGAGATTTATTATTATTTTACTAATTTTCTATTTTTTGTATGTTGATTATTTCTAACAATATTATAATTTTTGTTGATTGTGTTTTGAGTAAGAAAAACAAGTTTTATGTTTGAGTTCTAATTTACCTGTGATTAAAAAAGTATGTTTATGTTATGTATAAGATATTGTTGAGTTAGTGAGAGTCACAAGATTATATTTTCATTGTATTTCGCAATAAGTGTTTTTTTTGGAACGCTTTAAATAAACAATATTTCGTAAAGTATTCGTTTTTTTCATCTTTAAAGTGTCACAACTCAAAATTTTTAATTTTTTTTTTAATATATTCCAAAAATCTACTACACCATTTTGTTGAGCGTCAAAAATCATTGTAACTTACTTAAAATCATATTGCAGTAACTTTGACAGTTTTTGAGTTATGAGCCGAAAAGTGAAAAATAAAGTTAGCATTAATTTCAAACGCGTTTTACTCGAAAGTTAGGTTTTTTGACTTATGACACTATTTGAGCGGAGGTGCGATATAACTTCCGTTTGACTGCATCTACGACATTTTTAACTATCTCTATTTGTCGACAGGACACCGCTACCGAGTCGACGGTCCAGATCTCCGCTCGGTCGCCGGTCCCGCTCGCCCGTGGGACGCCGGTCGCCGCGCAAGTCGCGCTCCCGCTCCGCCAGGCGAAGCCCTAGGCGCAGTCCTAGAAGGAGCCCGATTAGGTGAGATTATGTTTAATAGCAATGACTGCCACGTTGGCCGAGTAGTCGCAAGTACGACTGCCGGGCAAGGGGTCTCGGGTTCGGTTCCCGGGTCGGGCAAAATACTTCAGGGTTCATTTTTAAATCACAGTAGTAGCACGGAGTCTGGAATTGTGCCCGGTATATGACAGTAGGCTCATCCTCTATTACATGGGACTCATAACGTAAATAGGGAAAAGTAGGTGTTACATTGTACAGTGTCATTAAGTGCCGTAATGGGCACCTCTGCCTACCCCTTAGGTATAAAAAAGGCGTGATAATATGTTGTGTTATGAAGAGTAACCATGGAGTACCTTAGAATTGCTCTTCTGACTTGGGAACTAGCAAAGAGCGTCATTATAGGACTGACCAAAGAGCTTGTTTCATGATCAAAACTGTCATGTATTGGTATAATTGAAATAAATAACTTTGTTGAGGGAAGTGGAAACTATTGTTTTTTTGTTCTTTTTCTCTTGTCCTTGCTCAGCAATAGGCAGTTATATAGGCTTTTTAATAATGATGACGAATTGATTTGTACAGACGCAGCCCGGGCCGTAGTCCCCGTCGTCGCTCCCCCCGTGCGCCGCCGCCACGTCGTGACGCTCGACGTCCGCCGCCTGCCAGACCTGCCAGGCCGCCGTCACCGCCAGACCCTAGGAAGGTAATTATCTTAAAATTGATTCTTTGTTGGAAAAGGTATAGAGTAGAAAATACTGGTTCGTCATAAGCCCTGATATATACCCTAGAAGGGTGTGGAGCCACTGAGAACTTAACGGGTTACCCGGGCTCCGGCTCCCAAGTGCAGGAGTAGAGACGGGATGGTTTTTAGTCAGTAAGAGTCTGACACTCGCTTCCGCCTCACCTAGGTGAGAGAAGACATTCGATGATTTTCACGCCTTAAAAAAAGTAGTGGGTGGAAGAGCCATGCTTCGACACCAATGGGTCAGCTCGACCGGATTGATACCTCACAGAAAACCGACGTGAAACAACCGAAGGCCTTATACCCTTCTCCCCAATCCCTGAATTCCCAACAATCCTCAAATTCCTAATCCCAAATACCGGTACCAAATCTGCTGTTCCAGATGTTCTTGGGCGGCGCCGATTGGTTATCATCAGGGTGCTCACTCTTGAAACCAATCTCAGTGTTAATGCAATTTCAATCCAATAAAATCTCAATAATTGTTCAGTGTCAACACTACAACCCCTATCATAGCTGTTAAAATAGCATTCAGAGTACCATTTAGTTTATTGAATATCCACGCAATACAGATGCAATGGGCGCTAGTGTTGCAACTCAAGAGTACAAAGTTTCACAATACCAATGTCGATCGATCAGAATTGTATTCAAGAGTATTCAACCAGGTCCGTCTGCAAAGGTATAAATAATATTGGGTTGGATTACTTGGATTGGACATCCGTCTGCTCGTTTACCAACTTATTCCATAATAAACTAAAAAAAATATCTTTTACCAGTCATCAGGATCAGGTTCGTCAGTAAGCAGCTGCTCGGACGAGTCGTGTTCCGTGTGTTCAGCCAAGAACAAGAAGACTGCGCCACCACAACCACCCAAAGGCGTTAAACCCATGTAAGTAGTGGTTTTTAAGTTTTTGCTACATAACAGTGACTAAGGCGTGAGCCTTTTGTCCCCGAAAAGGAAGGCAGAGGTGCACTTAATGCCACTGTACAATGTATCACCCACTTTTCACTATTAATGTTACGAGCCCCGTGTAATAGGTAGTGAGCCTATTGCTACATACCGGGCACATTTCCAGACTGCTACTACTGAGAATTTTCTAAAAACCCAGTAATATTTTGCCCGACCCGGAAATCGAACCCGAGACCCCTTGCCCGGCAGTCGCACTGGCGACCACTCGGCTAATGAGGCAGTCTTCTTATGTTCCAATCGACGAAAAATGCGTTATAGTATGTGCATTGTCAAATTAAAGATTGCCTTATAAAATGAATCTGATATACATTCCTGTTGCTTTCACACCTATTATAATTGTGTTGTTCTTTATACAGTCCCCCCGCCACATCTCCCGCGCGTGCAGCGGCCAGACCCGCCGCACGAGCTGTGCAACCAACTCGCGAGTTGTTGAAGGCACGCGAGGCTAGCAAGCGGACCCGGGAAGAGAAGGTAAGTTATAATAGTGTAAAAACACTATGTTCAGCTTAGAGACGTAAGTTGATTCGAGAATGCTAAACTAGTATCGAGCCAAACTGGAGCACACAATCACGCAGTGTGCGTGCGACCGAAAAGTCTTCAAAAGAAAAGGGGATTATCCAAAAAATTGCAGATTTTCATAAAATTTTACATAACACGCAATCAAAATACTGACTCCTCTTTATCCTACTGTATAATGATCAGGAGCAACTTACCATGACATCATCTAACTTTGCCATCATTCCCTAGGTACTAGAATGGCAACGCACCCAGATGGCAGTCCGTCCCCCGGTCCCCGCGACCCACATCAAGCGTGAAGGCGAGCGCCGGCCGGCCCCCCCCGCGCCCCCGGCCGGGGCCCCGCGGGCCGCCCGCCGCGACCCCCGCGACCCGCGCGCCGTGTCCCCGGCCGCCATCGCCGCTGCGCTCAATGATAGTGACTCGGACTCCGAGTCTGATGCCAGCTCTGATCCGCAGCCGCAGAGGTAAGATATTTGTGTGGTTGGTGAAAATAAGAAAGCCAAAATTTTTGGTTCGCAAAGAAATAGCCAAAAAAGCAAAGCTGGCATAGACAATAAAGTTCCTGCTCTTGAAGCGGTTTTTTATAACGAGTAAACGAGCAGACGGATCACCTGATGGTAAGCAATCGGCGTCGCCCATGGATACCTGGAACACTTAGAGGCGTTACACTTAGAGGCGGTACCGGCCTTTTGGGGATTGAGAATTAGATGATTGTAGGGGATTTTGCTCACTCACACGACGTAGGTAACACAACGCAAGCGTTGTTTCACGTCGGATTTAAAAATTAAACCTCCAAATAGAATCAGCTGAATGTTTAATTAAATAAAAAATATGTATAATTAAATCATTCGAATTAACTTTTCTAGGAAAGTAATGGTTTCATTTATACGTCACGCCCCTATCCGATAGCATCTGAAACTTTTATTTCGAATTCGGTTACGTCTACGGAGCTCCCTAACGTGCCTCCCTGCACGACACTAGTCATCGTTACTGTACATGAAATTACGTATGTAATTTTGGTTAAAAATAACCATGTAATAAGCGTGAAAACTAGCCATTTGCTCTTGTTACACAGGCTAACACTATCGGAGCGTTTCGGCAAGATGGCGCAATGGTCGGCGGACCGGTCGGCGCGGCTGGAGAACATGCGCATCACGCGGCGTGAGACCACGCTACACGTGCGCATCGAACGAGACGAGTCCGCTACACCGGCTCCTACTGCGCCGCAGCCGTACCCGTGAGTATTCTTACATAATATAATAAAAACTTCTTGGCTGCGTCTAGTGGAATAAGAATTTTGTATAGATTTTTTATCTATAGATGTGTAATTATTAACCTGAAGAAGTTTTCTGGCTTTTGATCTTACGGGCGAAAAATTATAGTCGTTTGGAAATGACATCACTAATGGTTGGTATTTGAATTGAAGTCTCATTACGGATATAGTGTTGATAAAGTCGAACTATCTAACCTATATAATCTGCATGCAACAATAAATCGATTAGATTTAAAAAAAATGTTGCTCCATGGGTTTTTCTCCTGTGTCGTGGGTGCGTTTACAAACACGTGCGTTCACATACACATCACACCCAGACCAGAAACAACAATTTGTAGATCACACAAAGAGCACCCACGCCTGCCTAATAAGTAACATACATAATATACACCGTGATATTTTAATGGTTGTTTTCCCACAGTAAAATGATTCTATTTTAGTAGTACAATAGATTGAGAAAGTTGTTTTTAATTTAAATAAAAAAATAGCAGTTTTACGATAGTGATACACGAAACTTGAAAGAAACCGCGAACCAATAGTACCGCCGCGACCGGCCACCGGCCGCTGTCATTGTCGCTCGCGCTTATCAAAAGGCTGATAACTCAGTATTTACTAACAAGTGATTTCCATTTTCCCTTCATACTTTAACGGGCTTAGGACCGTCGTAAATACTTTTTAACTACACTTACTAAACACAAACATAAAACAAAATTTAATCAAGAGATATTATCTTGTTTATTACTGAATTTGGGAAAGTATTTATGGCGTATTTAAAAAATGGGAATCAACGTATTTACAATGATTTTAATCACCTATCTTATTGTTTTATTTACAAATGTACAAGTACTTACACTTCCCGGTAACGGAGCAATTGTTTAAAGTGTAAGCCACCGCGTTCCACACACAATCGTGCACGTTTTAACTGATTGGCTTTCAATTTTAATAATGTGTCTCTGTCACGTCAAATCACATCAAAAGCGTCCACTATCGCACTTTTTAACGCGTCGCGAGTTTCGTACTCTTGCCGATACACAGGGCGTTTGAGATTAGACCACAAATAAAAGTCTAGTGGAGTAAGATCCGGGCTTCGTGGTGGCCATGGCACTGGCCCGCCACGACCGATTCAACGCTGGGGAAACACCGAGTCGAGGTGTTCTCGCACGGCGCGCTGATAATGCGCAGGGCAACCATCGTGCTGGTAATACAGGCCATCCATGGGCACTGCTAACGGGATGTCATCTAGTAAGTCCGGGATAACACTACGTAGCATTTGTAGGTACATTTCACCGGTTAAGTGTGCTGTCACAAAATGCGGACCAATTAAGCAGCCGTTTATTATACCGGCCCACACGTTTACACTAAACCGCACTTGATGCGCACAATACCGAATAACGTGTGGGTTATTAAAAACCCAAAAATCATAATTCGCCCTCGCGTACAATTGCACCATAGCTACGTACTCCACATTAGAAAAAACGTAATGGCGATCCATTTTGGCGGCAATAATATTGTACTGCGCTTGCGTGGTTGCGCGGACGGCGTTCGCGGTGCGACTGGTGTGAATGAAAGCGATGCGGGCCGATGCGAGTGACAGAGAGCGCGGTGGTTGCCTTTGTTGTTTGTCGTGAGGCGATCCGCTCGCGCGCGCCTGCATTACAGTTTATGCTGTATTACTTAGTCCGAGAGATTATTTTACTATGAACATTGATTTGACGTCACATTTTAGAAGAGAAACTATGGTTTCTCATGCTTTCGAGTTGATGATTATTTTTTTGAGTATATGAGGAGAAAAAAAATTATTTTTTCAAAAAGTAACTTGCATTATTCGATAGTACTACTAAAGGGAAATCGTTCTGCTGCGGGAAAACAACCATTAATATGTCAGCGTGTATATGAAGTTTGGCATGAAATGGATTTATAGTGCGGAATAACACAAACTGCAACTTTGACAACGTAAATATGACACGACAAAGGAGAATAATTGGTTCTATAACTGTAGAAGAAACGTTTGTTTAATAGCAGAAGGAATTTTCCAGCTGATAGATAAAAAATACCAAGGTACTTAAAGTTAGATGACTTAACGTAATATTATTATTTTTCTATCAGGGCCTTGGAAGGCGCTGCAGCAGGAAGCTACCCTGAGGAACTTCTGCTGGCGGCTCCAGCTGGGCTGCCTTCCTGGGATGATGTACGGGTGCGGTACGATTACTACAAGAAGCGGGGTTATCTCAGAGGTAAGTTTTTGTATAACTAGAAACCGGCAACGACCAACGTGAAACAACGCTTGCGTTGATTTTCGTTGTGTGAGTGAGATTACCGGAGGCCCAACTAAAGATTAATTCAGTACAAAGACCAGTTGACGCTACGGCTCAATACATTAAATTTATACAAAACGATGACGTCGCAAACTACTCATTCTTCTTGAGGTACTTCTTCGGACAAAACAATAATTCGCAAATGTTCGAGATAGAAACGTAGACCATTTTTAAGAAGCCGGTTTAACGCATATTTGTTACTTCTAATGTAGCTAATGCCTATGGGCGACGCTGATCTCTTAACATCAGGTGATCCGTCGGCTCTGTAATTATAGATCTTTGACGCCCATGGACCCTAGACGTTGTTACAAATGCGTTTCCACCCTTTTGGGAATTAAGAATGAAAGATTTTTGGGTATTCGGAGATTGGGGAGGGGCAATTGGGCCTCTGGTAACCTTACTCGCACGATGAAACACAATGTAAGTGTAGTTTCACTATGGTTTTCTGCTCGGCCGTGGTATCACTTCACTCGAGCCGGCCCATTCGTGCCAACGCATAGCTCTCCCACAATTAAACCTTCTATATTTTCATTCCTATCATGTCATTTTTATGTGAACAGGTCTAACGCTGGGTGACTATGTGAAATGGGAGGAATGGTGGTATAAGTACCAAGAGTGGTTGAAACATGAACGAGCCTACGAGAGGTGGGCTGAAGGAGAAGTAGGGACGGTGAGTTATTTATATTTACAATTTATCCTAAATTACTTCAACCTCTTAGCTCTCCATATGAGACACAAGAAAAAATGAAAATTAAAAATCTAATTAGTCCGAAAGTTAAATAAATAATGAGAAAATATTAGACACGTATTTTTTTATTTTCTCATACAAAGTTACAATGCTTGCAATATTTCAAATTAATGTATCGTCGGAAGAAGTATTGAATTTTGTGAGAAAACAAAAGATATGTGTCTAATGTTTTAAATAAATCTACTACCTACCTAGGAAACTACCCTAGAATATTGGCACGTCGATAGTGCGGCCACATTGGCGCATGCGCAGTTTGCTTTTAGAACTAAACCTGGAAAACTTTCTTTCAAAAATTATTTTGAATTAAATTATATCATGGTCATATGCTGCACAAATGACGGCCCTTTGCCGGATTAAAAATGTAAATTTTAAAATAAATGTTATCCCATAGGTACGTCGCGAGAGGCGACGTAGAGGCGGGCGCCACAGAAGGAGCTGAGGACGCGCCGCCCCCGCTGCCGTCCTGTCCGTGGACTTGGCAGCGGGGGCTCTCCCCGACACGATCTAGGGGAGACCGGACACTACACAGTGCCAACTTAGTGATAATTATAGTGCTAGTATCATAGTGTACAGTGATTTAAGTGATGAACAAAGCGTATAGACACTCCTCAAATGTGAAACGGGCTTTGATAAGTTCAAAGATGAACATTTTTACAGTTATACTGTTTGTTGTATCACTTTGACACGGCAGTTGGAACGCTTGTAGTGAGAATGGTTTAGCTGGAACTGACTACAGCTTGAAGTACAGCTTCAGAGTGTTTCATGAACTGACTGTGTGATCGACTGAGTCAGTGGAAGAAGTCAGTGTACGATACAGTTACAGACGGACTGACTAACATCACAGTTTGGTCAGATTGAAAATACGCGCTTCTGTGCGATGGTATGGCTGACTTTCGGCTGTATTGTGTCAGCGTGCGAGTAGGTCCGGATGAAAACTGATGACGTTACCGCTTCGCTTCGCGTCCTGTCTAGCACTACGGAAGTCACTTATAGTGCGTAAGCTAGTGCAAAAACTATAAAAAAGACTTTGAATTTCGTATATGGACGCTTAAAGTGCCAGTCAGCCTACGAAAGTCATTTGTTAATGCGTAAGATAGAGCTGGCTCATACGAGGTTCGTACTCAACAGATTATTGTGTATAAAGACGCTCTTGAGTGCTCCTGCATTATGGAAGTCACCTATGGTGCGTAATATGATGCAGGCTACCGTTAGTTCGAAGAGAAGCCGCGAATCAAACTAGTTTAAGCACCACGGAAGTCACCCCTAGTGCGTAAGATGGTGCAACTTACTTGTAAGGTAGAAATCTTAATGAGTGTTATCTGTAAGAGAACGGACACTATAGTGCCAAGGGATCTGTGAAACAACTACACGGAATAATGTTGGAATTGGGTTAATAATAAACCTTCCAACGTTTAATTCTACTCTTACATATAAATTTTGTAATTATGCAATAAGATTTCTGTATAAAGATTCTGTCTGTCCGCGTTTCCCGTATGGTGATGTTCGATACATCTTATTACACGGACATGATATGGCTAAGCGTACGTCAATCAACGGAAAACGCTTCTTCCTTGTAGAGATACAATAATCTGGTCTAAAATGAAACTTAGCACATGCTTTCACTTCGTCAATACCTCATGACGAAGTTAAACCATGCTCTAATATGCAAATACAATGAATTTGACAATCTTATTGGCAGGAATGTAACTAAATTATAATGTGCAATCAAAATGATGGGGTTAACAGCCTACTGACTGGGTTTGGGAGTCCGCACTGAGTCTTAATCGAGACCAGAGCCTTCGACTACCAGTAAATACTGAAAATATAGCCTTTGTCAGCCATCCAGGTGATACAGTATAGATTGGGTCGACATATTCCCCATACTATACTTGAAACTTAGTTGCCCATGTCGGTAAAATCATTTTGATTGCACTAAAACCATGGAATTTCAAAATTCAAAATCTGTTTCGTAATACGTGTAGATGTTGTGTAGGTGTCTTCAAATCGAAATGGATTTTGTTTTATCGAAAATTCTATCTAGTGTTTTTGTAAATTGAGTACTTTGGTAATACCTGGAGTTTTCAGCTCGTATTGCCTTGTCTAGGTCGATATTTAGACTATGATACACTAACGTGAGTCTGATAGGTTTCGAAATACGGAAACGCTAGATAAATTTTCAATTTAAAAAACTGACGATCAAATTATCTAGTTTAAGTTGACTACCATACTTCTTTAATAACTGTCGTGTGAAAACGGTGTACTCACGTGAATATACTGAGAACAGCTCTACTTGTTTCGAGTCACAGAGGGGCTTTTAGAGCTTATCTCAGTATATTTACATGAGCAAATCGTTACTTGACTATCATGTTCCAAAATCTTTAAAAAAATCGATTCTTATATTTTATTTTTCAATATTTCGGACTCGTTTAAAAGAAATACGTGTTTCAATAAAACATTTCGACTTATGTAAATATGAATGTCTGAAAAAGCTTAAAAATGAAAAAATAACGTATGTTTATTTATATTTTAGTTTTTACTAGAATATTAGTTTATTATTTTTGGCCGAAATATGGATCTGATACCCTTTTTTGACAAGAGGGTATATGCAAATGTAATCGTGAGTTGACCTCGCGCGACAGGCCCATAAGTTTAAAGGCTTTTTAAAACAACAAATAAAACCTTAATATAATGTTAATAATAACATTTTGCTTCGTTTTAGTTTAAATATTTTAGTTTTACGGCCAAATTCAATATATAAATACTATATACAATTAAAAATTAATTGCCTAATATAAAAAATACACTTATGGGTCTCCTAAACAGAATATAATCCCATAACAATGTTACGGGGCACGGAAATCATGATAAAATCTCGGAAAATGTATTTGGAATCATAATAACCAGGATATGCAGAAGGAGAAACCGATACAATCATTGTATTTTTATTATATTTAATTTAAATTTTATTAGAAGTACAACTTTCTATATTTATTTTCAAATGTTTATTTACAGTCTGTGTATGGTAGGTGTAGATTTAGGTTTAAGTCTGTATGTGTGCGTATTTTGTGTTTGTTCATGCTCAGGGCAGACGCCAGCACATGAAGCTATCCGAGACTGTCAAAATTATTTAAAAATAAAACATCACACCCCTATAATCAACTTTGTTACAACACCTTAAGGTTGATAATTAAAGAAATCTGTCAGAATGGGATAGCTTCATGTGCTGGCGTCTGGGTATTTTTGTTACAATACTATCTGTTGCAACAAAGCTTACTGTCCATCAGTTGTAAGCGGACACCGTAGTCTTATACACCTCGTACACCAGAGGGATCACGAGTGCGTTGCGGGTCATGTAGGTAACTGTTTAATTGAGCTATCGTTTACTTAAATGGTGGCGCAATTAAACAGTGGGTTGGGCATCCGGGGACCTCTCACGTACCAGACAAAACGCCTTCATACCAACTTACCGCCGTACAGACATCCATTTAATGATTACTTAACCTAGCAATTGTATTCGGAACTAAATCACCAAGGAACAGTTTAATACATTGATATATATCGTACCGAAAATCCAAAATTGTTCATACAAAAGCAGTCTTTAAATATCGGAAATAAGGTCTGTAATAGAGTTCCAGTGACTGCTTGGTGGATGAACAGTTAGATGATCATTGAATGACTCTAAGTATGACAGCTACTCTTGTCACTTTTTGACGAGATACGACTAGTTTGAAGCCACGCTAGGGACTCATAGTCTTGACCTGTCTTCCGCGATTATCGACACGAATGTCGCTGCATTCACATGTCAAACTAGTCGACTTCGTCAGACAGTTCGTGAGTATGCCTCAAAGTAATTGAGCTTGGTGTCAACCTAAAAGGGTTTTAAACTTCCACAAAACTATGTTATATGTAACGCCCTTTACAACGTAGCATGAACAAACACAATATAAATCATTAATAATTATTATAATGCAATTATAATACGTAAATAATTATATTTATTTACGCATAGTCGTACAATCAAAAGGGGTTATGCAGGCGCGCTCGTCCGTAGGCCGCATCATCGCTTAGCACCCAGCGAGATGTGGTCAAACGCCGACCTATTGGTACCATATGACTATAAGTATTTACTGTATAATAGTCAAATGTCTCTGTAATACTTCTATCGCTAGTTCTTTTTTAGCTCACAAGGTGGTGCTAGTGTCGCCTAAGGTTTATTTGTCAACACCAATCACTAACTGTTCAAAATTGAATAGTTTGATGCTACATGCTACCCACCTTATTGGTCCTTGCGCATCACTAACACCATCTAGTGAGCTATAAAACGCTCCCTCATTGATTGTACGGCTTACATATCGGTTGGCTGCATTTTTATAAAGCTTGGAACAGTTTTAACTAAACAGAGATATTTTTGTTTAACAACTAAAAAGCAATGTTTCTGATATTCTGTAAGGACTAGATTGAAGATCTTGGCAACTGGAGAATGTAATTACCAAGTCTTGTTTTGGCACTTCTAGGTTTCCTTGGAGCGTGGTGCTAGTTGACGATCGAATAGAAAACTCAATGTATAGATTTGACATAAACTTTGACGTAATTTGTCGAATATCTGTGTCTATTCCATACATTGATGTTTCTATTTACTGATTCGACTAGCGTTTCAGCCTAGGAGCTTAGGGGGGACTTTCTATACCCGCGGGGAGAGAATGGATGGTAACTAAATGTATTCTGAAGTCAACTTCAGTTTGTAAGCGAGGCGTGCTCCACCTGTAGGCCACCTCATCGCTTACCACCAGGCGAGATAGTGGTCAAACGCCTACCCATATCTACAAAGTTTAGTAGGACATCTTGATTAAAAATGCAGCTAACAACTCCATTTTAATGTCTATCATTGTGTGTATGAGATTAGAATTAATAAAATCATGCAATTAGATGTTAAGAATAAAGTTGTATATGGTCAGTATTCATCGCACCGGGTGAGGCGGGAGCGAGCGAGCGTCAGGCTCTTACTGACTAGACACCACCCCGTAGTCGTAGGAACTCCTGCCTCGAGCCGGGGCCGCGGTAACTTTACACTTTATACGTAAATGTCGTCAGAATAGGAATTGTAACATCTTGAGTAAGAAATATAGAGCTAAGAAATATTCACGCGGGCGTTCGAATGAGTTTTAGGCGTTAACACCAGAGTTAGAAGTCTGAAAATACTATTTAAGACTTTAATAATGTTAAATATCAAGGGTAATTTCACAAGACGCGATTACAATCTGCGATTTTGAGTTTTATAAGCCTGCATTCATCCAAAATGTTCTAATGACAACTAAGGCAAGATTTACACGAAAACTACTAAGCCGATTTCGATGGTCTTTTCCATATAGATAGACTTTGGATTAAGACAGGATTATTTTCTCAATAATGCAGGTGAAGTCGCGGCATTTCGTAGTAAAGGAAAGAAAATACTGACCATATATCACTTTTAAATGTCACAAGTTTTGTTATCTTACAAATGTAAGTAATTTTCTTGTATCTATGTCTAAGAATCTTTTACGGAATGAAATGTTCGTCTATACTAACCTATACAATAAATTTATTTATATTTGTAAGAGCATTCCTTGTGGCATATGACCTAAACGGTCTAGATTATAGTCGTATCTTCGAATATATTAATTTCCTAGAAAAGTAGATTCAAATGATTTAATTATACATATTTTTTATTTAATTAAACATTCAGCTGATTATCTATTCTGTGGTTTAATTTTTATCCCCCTTAGAAAATAATCGATAATGACATTTACGACTAGACATCGGTTTATATGCGCTATCAAAACGCTAATGCATTAAACAACGGCGAAGTATGCACAATAGTAAGTTAGAAACCATTTATACCTCGAAGGTACTAGCGGACCCGCAAACCTTATTTCGACCTGATTGATCTAAACTAATTTTTTTCATACTTAGGAACCTGCTCCTAATCCTAACAATAACACCCAACAAAAAGGAATTAGCGAAATCGTGTTCAGCTGTTCTCGAGATGAACGATTCATTTTTATATTATAGACTAGCTACTCCCCACGACATCGACCGCGTAGAATGTTAGAATTATAGAACAACGTTTTTTTGTTTCATTTTCCAAAATAGAAGTAGCCTATGTTTACTACTTAGTACATCAGCTACCTGCCAATATAAGTTGCAATATCGGTTCAGCTATTCTATAGATTAGCGTAGCTAGTACGAACAGACATACAAAATTAGCACTGTTAACGAAAACGTACAAAAATATACAACAATGCTATAAAAATATGCAAAGATGCAAATATATGACTTGACTGCTTCGTTGTCCGAGTGGTCGCAAGTGCGACTGCCGGGCAAGGGGTCTCGGGTTCGATTCCCGGGCATAGAATTACTGGGTTTTTAAAAATCTCAATAGTAGCACGGAGTCTGGAAATGTGCCCGGTATAAGGCAATAGGCTCACCTCCTATTACATGGGACTCATAACATAAATAGTGAAAAGTGGGTGTTACATTGTACAGTGGCATTAAGTGCCGTAATGTACACCTCTGCCTACTCCTTCGGGGATAAATAGGCGTGATGTTATGTTGTGTTATGCAAATGTTTATAATCTGATGTCTATTTACGACCAAGTTTAAGAACTTCCTAAGTTCTCATTTTATTATAGCTACTAGACTGCCAGAGCGGAGTGGCTGCAAGTCACACAACTGAGGAAGGAGCTCTCGCATTCGAGCAAATCCTGGGTTAAGTAAATAAGTCGTGACGCAATGTGTAAAGGCCGTGTACATTATCGATGTACGTCAGGCTGGCCCGGCCCCATGAAATTTAATAATGAGATTGTTATCAATCCAATGTACCCGGGTATACTAATATATGTAACACCTTCATTTTCAATGTAACTCTTTTTAAAAGAAATTACGTGCACTTCTTAGTGGCCGGGCCAGCCTGACGTTTTCAGCCCGGCCACCTTGTTTCCCACTAATCTACAAAAAATACTGGCAATATTGTGCTACAGATGAAATGTACCCTATAATTTATGCATATGTAACACAAAATCGAATCCTAAAATGCAATAGCATACGAAATATTAGCGGTTGCAGGTGGCCGGGCTGAAATTATTTCGTTACTATAAAACAGTAAAACTGCAACACCTACCAAAAAATAATACCAGTACATAATGAGATATAGAGATATAGAATACATGTAACGCTTTCATTTTAAATTATAATACATATTTAGAAAGAATAATCACTTGAAATTATATTTCAGCCCGGCCACCTAAAAGCGGTAATATTCCCTAAAATCTTATGCTAATTTGTACAGTAAAACCTGATACAGCTATGAAATGAAAGTTACATTCGTTTTGTTTTAGTCGTATACCTTTAAGCCTTCTGTTTGACTAGATTATCAAAATCTGAGAAACTTGCCGAAGAGTGACTATCATTTATTAACTAATTTCAGGACATTTGGTTTGTTGAGTGAAACAAAATTGGTAATTGTCATATTTTTTTAATAATCATTTTTGAAATTAGTTAGACAACATTTGTACTTATATTAATTAGGTACTATAACAATTGTTAATTATAAATAATGTAAAAAAAGGTTACACATTGATAATAACACAGTTATCAAAAAATTATAGTAATATCAATATTACCTTAACATCGCACATTCATTCATTCAGAATATTAGAAGATAATTTTTGGTTAAATACTTATTATACCTTGGTAAAAAATCACAGATTTTCATAATGATTTTTACATCTTTTCTGTCTACTCGGGGAAAATATCTTACGACTTAGGTTGGGACGCGACACAGGCGCCGTCTAAAAATCGGTGGTAGCGTCTGTGAACTATTATCTTTGTATGGTTATGTTGTGAAGCCAAAAACGGAGAAAATATATATAGGTTTAGGTATTATGTATCCAACAATTATTATGTGTGATTTATACTACTTAGTTTATTAATAAAAATATCATAGTAACCAATTTTGTTTCACTCAACAAACCAAATGTCCTGAAATTAGTTAATAAATGATAGTCACTCTTCGGCAAGTTTCTCAGATTTTGATAATCTAGTCAAACAGAAGGCTTAAAGGTATACGACTAAAACAAAACGAATGTAACTTTCATTTCATAGCTGTATCAGGTTTTACTGTACAAATTAGCATAAGATTTTAGGGAATATTACCGCTTTTAGGTGGCCGGGCTGAAATATAATTTCAAGTGATTATTCTTTCTAAATATGTATTATAATTTAAAATGAAAGCGTTACATGTATTCTATATCTCTATATCTCATTATGTACTGGTATTATTTTTTGGTAGGTGTTGCAGTTTTACTGTTTTATAGTAACGAAATAATTTCAGCCCGGCCACCTGCAACCGCTAATATTTCGTATGCTATTGCATTTTAGGATTCGATTTTGTGTTACATATGCATAAATTATAGGGTACATTTCATCTGTAGCACAATATTGCCAGTATTTTTTGTAGATTAGTGGGAAACAAGGTGGCCGGGCTGAAAACGTCAGGCTGGCCCGGCCACTAAGAAGTGCACGTAATTTCTTTTAAAAAGAGTTACATTGAAAATGAAGGTGTTACATATATTAGTATACCCGGGTACATTGGATTGATAACAATCTCATTATTAAATTCCATGGGGCCGGGCCAGCCTGACGTACATCATTATCGGCACAAGGTCTTTTGAAGCCTTGATGAAGTACCTCAGAGCGAGACAATTGTGTCAAACGAAGCAACCTAATGTTTTGCCGGTAATGAAACTATAGCTTGAATTTAAATCGGTCAACGCCATCTATCGAGCAAGCTATGATCAGTACCGTCTTTACCATGGGCCCCGATGGACCCACAATTTCTACAACTGCCACGGCAACAGGTTGCCGCGCAACTTGTATCGGGTTCGATTCCCGCACGGCGCAAATCAGTGTGCTCCATAAATTGTTGTTCCGGGTCTGGGTGTCATGTATATGTTGTGTACGAGTCTGTATATGCACCCCCGATACTGGTGAAAATCCTAGTGTGGAGGCAAAGTTTTAACAAAACAAAAAATAGAAAAATACTGACTGCCTCGTTGACCAAGTGGTCGTAAGTGCGACTGCCGTTCAAGAGGTCTCGATCGGGATCGATTCCCGGGTCGGGCAAAGTATTACTGGGTTTTTTATATATATATTCTCAGTAGTAGCACGGAGTCTGGAAATGTACCCGGTATATGGCAATAAGTTCACCCCCTATTACATGGGACTCATAACATAAATAGTGAATAGTGGGTGTTACATTGTACAGTGGTATAATGTGCACCTCTGCCTACCCCTTCGGGGATAAAAGGTCGATATGTTCAAAAATAGAAAAAGAAAGAGTTAAAATTACAAATAGTTTATTATAAACAAATATCTATAATGGGTCTACAATAGCCTTATAAATAATACATTACACAACAATATATTTTGGAACAATATCGTCTTGAATCAGGTTACAACCGTCAACGGCTTTTTGATAATCACATAGAACATTTAGAGTTTCTTTCATAATCATTATCTTAAGTTACTGTTGGCATAACCGACAAGTTTCGAATAGAAAATTATCCATAAGTTGTACTCAAATATCGTGCCAATCTGTCGTTTTACAAAGAATTTTAGAGACAGAACTATACATACTTTAAGTTCGACTTAAACTTGTGTACGGCACTCAATTTTTTGGCGCGGTAGTTGGGCAACGTGTCGTGGGTTCGATTCCCGCACGGAACAATTGTTTGCGTGATCCACGAATTGTTGTTCCGGGTCTGGGTGTCATGTGTATATGAACTTGTATGTTTGTAAACGTAACCACGACACAGGAGAAAATCCTAGTGTGGGGCAACGTTGTTTAAAGACATAAAAATAATGTCGGCGCATTAGTATGGCCATCGACCATAGAGGCGGCGACGCGCGGGACGGGGGTATAAAAACCTACGGTCGCGCGAGCGCCGCGCTTCTTCTTCATCGACACACGCCAGCCATAGCATTCGGGCTTATCTTTGTATCGGTGTGAGCCGGTCTTGATTCTGATATGCAGTAATTAAACCTATTAATTGTACAGTCTTTTGTTTTAATTTAAAATAACCCGATAGAGCTACGACAAGAATTATAGTTCTGTCACTACAAATGGTTTGCAAAATGACACCATATAAGTACAACTTAAACAAACTTGAGTAGGTAGTCTTCCAGTACCCGGACGTTAATCATTTAATTTAGGTTGCCTTAGCCTTCGAGGACGCGTCTTATTTTCCGTCAATTTTCCAGGACTAGTAGCCCTCTTCAAAGCCCTATCTTTTTCGTCCTTCCTAGACGTCCTAGGCGCGTCTAGATTCTTTGAATTTTCCTTTTGCGACACAGCTTTTGGCGTCGAAAATTCGTGTTCCAAATTTTTCACTATACCCTTTCTGAGAGAAGACTTCGAGTATGTTTTTATAGTGTTCATTGGTGTGAAGAACTGTTCCGGAGTCGACATGGGAGTGAAAAATTCATTGCATTTATCAGGTTTCTCGTTGACCGGTGTTTTAGCCGTGTCGGTAACCGTGATCACCGGTTTTCTTGACGGTCTCGGCGTCAAGATCTCTAAAACCGGTTTCGATGTGACCGGAACTGGTATTTTGAATTCGGATACCGGTTTTCTAGGTTTCGGTTTCTCTTCTTTCTCGTCTGAACTGTTCTCGTCTAGGTTGAGTTTTATAACCTTGCGTTTTTTCGGTAATTCCTCATCTTTGACTTTTCTCGCCGATAATTGGGGGAGCTTGGCCTTCGAGACTGGTGTTTTATCACCCTCCGTCTTCATTTTGGGGCTTAACTTTAGATTTTCGAACTCAGCTTCTAAATCAAACTGCTGTTTTTTAACCACATTCCTTAGCCTAGCTGACGCTATCATCAAATTCATGACTTCATTGCTCAAATAGGCATCATTTACCTGCAAATCTTGGCAAATTTCATGTATGGTCACAATATAATCGTCTGCCGCATCAAAATTCCCATTTTTGAGCTCAAAAAAGGACGCTTCGATCAAAATTTCCAACTTAACTTTTCTAAATTGGTCCTCAAACATACTTCTATTGTAATCCACTACATACTTCTCGAAATCCAACTCTGTATATGACGTCAAAACAGCCTTCAACTTCGCATCGAAATAGCCGAACGAATTGATGACGCCTTTGAAGTAATTTTTTGCTATTTCATGTTCGTTCGCCCGGAAATACATGGCCGCTTCCAAACCAGCTGTTATGTAGAAAATTATCATACAATATGGGTTGACGCAGGCATAGCAATCACATTTCGTATGTCTGAAGAACTCCGGCAGTATGAAGCCTGGTATAGTTACATATTTCCTGGTCGGACTGACTTGAGACTTGAACGTTTGACACTCCAGCATCGTCTCGAAGTCTTGTTTTGGCGCAAACATTGGTACTTTAGCTTCAGTTGGCATTATTGGCGGATCGCTCGATGGAGGTAAGCCAAGGATGTATTTTAGCCGGTTGTCGATTTTGACCTGCAACGAAATTATGATAAAAATTCAAACTCGAGTTTTATGCCTATTGTTTGTTTTAAAATAGCGGTTAAAGTAAGTCTTTAGAGCTCTTATTGAGAGTGCTGGGACCAATTGAAGTGTTTTTTTTTTAATGAAATAACCTTTAAGCTACGTATCATTTTGTATTTTTTTATTGCACAACAAATTTAAACTAATTCCTAAGAAGCCATGTACAAAATATGATAAGAATCCGCTTAACAATTTCAAAGAAAACCAAAAATGTTACCCCAGCAAAATCTCGAATAACTTCGCAACCGATGAAAGAACAAAATACAAAATAAGCCACAACATTTACTTCATCTAGATAACTAACTTTATAGCTAGTAATTGTTTAAATATTCCCATTAGAAAGAAAAAGGTCTGGCTGGGGTAACGTTACCCCAGCAGGAAATGTTTTTGTGAAATAATTAAAAAACTATAAGCGCAACAAATTTAAAAATGTGCGCAACAATTACAGAAGCCGCGCAACTAATTATCTATAAGGACCATAAGATTCAAATGACCATTTTCGACAACATCTGGCCTGGGTAACGGACACGTCATGCAGCAGGCAAATCATCTGATGGCAAGCAAGCCTGACGCCGGCTCTGCGGATTGGGTACTTTCCCTAATCAAAAATAAATTATTTCGACTGTTCAATACAGTATAATTGTCATTCTTTCATTCATTGATTTTATGACCAAGTTAATTTTAGTATATTTCCAGCAAATTTTCGAGAAATAAGTATAAATTTTGTACGAGACATGTATTGTGACATCACGTTTTTTTGGCGTCAAACAACATACATATTTATTTAAAATATGCTGGATAAATACTAAAGTAAAGTTGGTCATAAAATCAATTAATGAAAGTGTGATTATATTTTAATATCTTATTGTATTACACAGCCGAAATAATGTATTTTTGATTAAGGAAAGTACCCGATCGAGTAAGTAGTAAAGTAGGCCGACTTAAAAAAAGAATAATTGAAAGTATATTGACCTGAGCATCGTCCACCTTATGCACATGCACGATGTCCCCGTACACGCGGGCCTGCACGGCCCCCGCGCAGTGCGGGGCGGCCACGCCGGCCGTGCTGCGCGCGCGGCGCCAACACTGCAGCGCGCGACACACGCGCACGGCGCGCGCGCTGCTCCGCGACACACCGAGCTTTATTGACACCGAGCGGAGGCGACGGGCTGTCCACTTTGGAGCTGTTTAGGACAAAGAAATAAAATGTTGTTTACTTACGCTTTTGATTTCTTTTTAAACGGTACCCCGCTCTTGTATTTTTCCTGGGTCGTGTTTACGTTTACGAAGATACAATATACACATACACATGACACCCGGACCAAGACTAAATTTGATGTAATTTGTCTATCAGAACATTGGCTTAAGGAGTCAAAGTCAAAGCATTTATTTCAAATAAACCATAATTTGGTACTTTTGAAACGTCAACAAATACAAAATACATAATAGTCTGTCGGTCAGTCCGTCAGTGAAGCTAGGTGAAGCTAGGTGCTCATTCCAAAATGTAGATTCGAATGGAGAAGAACGAGCAAGAAACTCCATTCGTTACTCTTTTTACAAAAGTATGTTCTACAATGTTTCTGATACATATCCCAATACTGCACGTATATGTGAGAACAATGCATAGACACGCTTGACGCATTATAGGTACTAATTACAAACCTTACTAAAATAATAAAAATAAAAAACAATCTTATAGTCTAACATGGTGCTCACATATGCATACTGACAATAAAGAAAGAAATGCTCGATGCTATAAGGAAACTAGATTGTCCACATTAGAATGAAAGTATTAAATTATTAAATTACCTACTATTGGAATCTAACTACTGACTACATTTAAATATTGTCCAGTGGAGCCGAACCAAGCATTCTTATCTTCAAGATAATCTGTCAGTGTGTAGTAAGCTTGATTTCATAATTCGCACTTAATATATGTTTTAAATTTACTTTCATTGAGATCTAGTATGCTATTTGGTATTTTATTATAGCATTTAATACCTAACCCCATAAAGGATTTCTGTACCTTGGACAGTCTGAATTGCGGTTTAGCTAACTTATTTTTGCCTCCAGTATTAAAATTGTGTCTATCGCTTCTTTTTTCAAACAATTACCTAATTTTTCTTACATACATTATATTTGATATATATATTGACAGGGCACCGTTAAA